GACGGTTCCGTATAGGATGCAGGTTCGAATCCTGTCAAAGAACGAATATTTTCTATGAAAATTTCTCGGACATTCAGGCCGGTAAATGTTATTTAATACTGTTTATCATAAACAGAGCATTTGCTTAAATACTTGTATCTATAAATAACAACGTTAAACATAAATATGTGTGTGTTACCCTGTGTACTGTTATTCTCTCTGATTGTATATCTTACCTCTATATTTTTTATTTTGCTAGGATGTTTATATTTTCCGTTACTGCATTTTTAACTATATATATACATATATACATACAGATCTACATACATACACATATGGGTGTCTTTAAGACTGTTTCCTCTGTCTTTATTTTTGCCTTTCTTTCCTCTTTTTTTCTATGCTCTCATTCTTCCTCACTCTCTCTCTCCCTCACTCTCTCTCTCTCTCTCTCTCCCTCACTCACTCTCTCTCTCTCCCTCACTCACTCTCTCTCTCTCTTTCTCCCTCACTCACTCTCTCTCTCTCTCCCTCACTCACTCTCTCTCTCTCCCTCCCTCACTCTCTCTCTCTCTCTCTCCCTCACTCTCTCTCCCCCCTCTCTCTATATATATGCATGTTTCATTAAAAACGACAGACAAGTTACTACGGTTATGCTTTTTATTTAATTTTTCCAATTACCATGAAAGTATTTATAGAAAAAGCAAAGGGAGGCAACTTTATGGCCTTTGGAAAATGACAGAAGCCAAGTCATCAGATCAGAACTAATAATATTGCTGATTCTTTTTTGGATTTTATCAAGAATCTCTAGTAGGAAAATCAAATCATATATTCAGAAATTTCAGAAAATTCTTACAATCTAAAATATTTTTGGCTTTAAATGACCTGCAAAGGGTTGATAAGCTGTAAAAACTACATCAATCAATTAATCAATAAAATTTCTCACACTCAGTCTTCTCTTTCTGTCTCTGTTATTGTTTATATCTCATTCTCTAAATATACTTTCTCTCCTCTTAATAACCATCATCCAGGATTTCCAGCTTTTCTCCATCTTTAATTATAAAATGCCTCTGAGGTTGTAATAAAATCATTTTAAAATAAAATGAACAGATAAAAATAGAACACCTGAACCTGTAAATAGGAGGAGCTGAAGGTGGGATTTTATTGAGAATACCAGTGACCAGGGTAAAAGAAGAGACTTCAACCTAATACTTCCAGGTAGAATAGCGGATGGGTGTGGCTGTGTGAGTTTGACAGGTGGAATTTGGAAAACAATGGAATTAGTTTCTGTACGTGATTTATCTATATCATTTGGTTTTGCTTGTGGAATCTCTGCTCTTTGACTGGCTAAGATTACAAGCACTGGAAGATGTATGAGAATCTAGGAAAGGGGAATAAGTAGGAAAATGAGGAAAGTCAAAATAGCAAAGCTATTTATTCTCTCTATCTCTTTTTCTATTGTTTCAATTTCATTACAGACTCTCTTTTTATACAACTATCTGTCTATCTCTCTCAGTCTGTTCATATCTATCTATCTATCTATCTATCTATCTATCTATCTCATTCAGTTCATATCTATCTGTCTATCTATCTCAGTCTGGTCATATCTATCTATCTATCAGTCTGTTCTATCTATCTATCTATCTATCTATCTATCAAAGTCTGTTCATATTTATCTATCTAGCTAGCTAACTTAATCTGTTTATATCTTTCTATCTATCTATCTCAGTCTATTCATATCTATCTATCTATCTATCTATCTATCTATCTATCTATCTATCTATCTATCTATCTATCTATCTCAGTCTGTTCATATCTATCTATCTATCTATCTATCTCCGTCTATTCATATCTAGCTATCTAGCTATCTAGCTAACTATCTAGCTCAGTCTGTTCATATCTATCTATCTATCTATCTATCTATCTATCTATCTATCTATCTATCTATCTGTCACAGTTCCTTTCTTCTTTCTTTGCTTTACATTATCTATCTATCCTCTCTCTTCATATTTTCTACTTTCTTTCTCTACACTTTTTCTACATCTTCTATCTCTCTACTACACCCTTTCTCTCTCTTTATCTCTCTCATCACACATAAGATAATTTCTAATTATTTTCTTTCAATATTTGTTGTTCCTTTCTCTCTCTATATATATATATCTTGATAAGAAGAATGAAACTTTGAGGTCCATCATGAAAAGAAATTTATACAAGAATGGCAGACAATAATCAGTCAAAAAGATCATCTGATTCATGCAATTGTAACTTTAAAACTGCAGAAAAGTTAACAAAACAAATAGATGAAACAAGTGAAGTTTATAGAATGTCAAGAAGTCCTTTCAAGCAACTTTTTCTTTTTCTATGTGTTGTATCCCTTCAAGATGTTCTCAAGATGTCCCTCCCACCTCACAACTTCAATACCTTTGTAGGTCTTAGCAACATTAGTCTTTTTATCAAACCTCCTATTCAATCTCCTGCCTTTCAGTTACCCATTAAGTTGATTTTATCATTGTTTTTACTTTTCTCTATTTGTCTTCATTATTTTCAGTGAGTTTTTTTTCAGTGAATTTTCCCAGCCAATTTTCCTTATTATGCGTTGTAGAAATTTCAACTGTCTCTTCCTGATTCTAAATACAAGTGTCCTTTTTTGTTCTCTATTTCCTTAGTACTCCCTCACTGATTACATTGTATTCTCAGTATCCTTCTGTAGAATCAGATCTGTGTTGCCTCAAGTCTCCTCTTTCCAAGTACAAGTGTCCTTAGTGTCGAAATGAGTGAGTTTATCCCTTATTCTTTTCTTGCTCTATTTACATTTAGGGCTCCCTCCCACCACCTACAAAAGACGACTATTCATTGTTGAAATTGTTGTTAGCTCTTTTAATATTTGTACATTTTTCTCAGATTGCCATTTTGGAATTCAGACAGCAAGAATGTACTAATTTATTCATTTAATGAATGAATTAGAAGATTCTTGCGGCCTGAATTTCTGGAATGAGAAGTTATCATTATTTACAGGCAGACTATTGTCCTAATGTCTGTTTTTGCTTAACACAACCTTACAGTTGTTGTACCCTTTGGCCTTCGTCCCATATATATTGATCTGGGATAAGTTAGTGACATGGAAAACAGAACTGGCTGAATTCAAATTAAGGTTAATGTTATTTATTTCCATCTCACTCTTGGCAAAGGCTTGAATAAATTTCTCCCTGAATTCATTACCAGATATCTTGGCAAAATATGATGTTATAGGCATGTCACAATAGTTCAAAGAGACAAGCCTTTTACCTGACCTATCTTGGCAGGATTATATGAAAGCTGTTACAATATTTTAAACCTTGACTTTTCTTCCATTTCTTTTAGTGTTTCTCTGTTATACATTTGGGGATTACTTTGATTTTTTAAGAAATCTCCTATTTTGTAATAAATATGACATATTGTAATAGTTGTAAGTAAAAGTAATAGCAAAAATGACTCCCACCAACAAATTTTATCTCCAAAAAAGGACTCTCAAAATTATCTCCAGTTTATTACTTGAAATAATGTAAAAATGATTCCTCACTTAATGACAGGAAATCTATAGTAATCATATTTGATGTTATATAAAAAAAAAAAAAAATTTTCACCCAAAAAGAGATTCAAGAAATATTTAACAGGATTTATACTCAAGTTTAATACCTAAAATAATGAAAAAAGTGATCCCCCACTTAATGCCATAGGAAATCTATATGAATCATATTTGTTTGTAAATAAAAACCCCATTCCCCACCAGAATGACTGAAAGAATATTTCCTGAGTTTTATATCTAAATTAGGTTAATATTTGACCAGAATAATTATACCTAATCAAATTCTGTAATACATTAACATTGGATAAAAAAGGGAAGGGGATCATGAAATTGGGTATTTTTTTTTTTACTGATGGTCACCGAGTAGATGGCTCAAGAGCCACTCAAGGTAGAGTTTTACTGAGTGTGACATGAATATGAAAGGAGGCAGAAAAAAAGGATAAGGAAAATAGATAAGATTGACCATTAAATTGAAGAGGTTAGAATTATAGTATTAATGAAAATGACCACATGGGAATCTGTTCCACAGACAGCAGTTCATTGAAAGAAACTATCTGATTGGAATTTCCTCTTTGTAATTGGAATACAGGAGATCTCAGGTTGATATGACTCCATGGACATAGCATTCTTTCTTTTTTTATGTGCTGTATCCTTTCAGGATGTAGGCGATCATGGCTTTACACTTTCTTCTTGATTCGAGTTTAGCAAGATTTAACATGAGGTTCCAATTGTAAGTATTAAGAATTGATTTTTCTGCGATGCTGTCTTGACATATTTTATTTTGTTTTTATTTATTTATTCATATATTTTTATATTTTTTAATTTTAATTTTCAAACTAGTTAGGTTAATTTGTAAATTATAAAAAAAAAGAAAAAGTTGTCATAATAAGCATAGATAGCATGTGCAATCTTGTTGACTTGGACTTTTTGGCAACTAGTGAGATATTTATTTGCTAGATAAAAGAGGGCAGGAAAAGGAAGAAATGTTTTTTGTCCCTTTTCTTTTGTCTTACTTTATTTGAAATGGAAAGTCACCATTCTCAATGTTTGGGGAGGGGCTGGTCACTAAGGCATATCAGAACCCCCCCTATCCCAAATGATTTCGGACATAGCATAGTGAGTCCTAAATATAAAGGTTTCAAATGGTAGAAATAATGAGTTTATCTGAACATTTGACATGGGAATAGCAGTACAGATGTAATGATTTTGTAGTGTTGCATCTGTGTATCAATTTGGTATTTGAAATAGTAAAAAAAAATCCCCCCCTCCATTTAATGCCATAGGAAATCTATAGTCACCCTGCTATAAGAACCCTGCAAAAATAACTAAAAAAAATATCTCACAGGTCTTATATTCCAGTTTAATATTTGAAATAGTAGCAAAAATGACTCCCCAGCCACTTAATGACACACAAAATCTATTGTAATCATACTTGATGAGATATATAAGAATGGTTTACCATATCATGTTAAAACACTGGTTCTCATATGATCACTGAAGTTAAGCTATGTTGAGCCTGGTCAGTAGATAGATGGGTGACTGCTTGAGAATAGCAGATCCTATAAGCTTGGATATACTGGTGGTGTACTGGATGATGGCTTAGAATTGGAAATTCCAGATGGGTTTGTTTTATTTACTTATGTGCAAATATCCTTGGGAAAGGTATGAATCCACCTCTTCTCCCCCCAGCTATGTGGTAATTAGTAAGACTTTTATCAGTAAATCATTATTATCTCTTAAAAACTGTTACAATCTAAAAAATATTTTCTGGCTTTAAAAGGTTGATTAGCTGTAAAAAACAAAACATACAATGTATGAACACTAATTTCTTTTAAATGATAATTCAGAAAATGTCTTCTGGTTCTTATTATTATGATTGATTCTTATGACTTGAAGGCACAATGCAAATCAGTATTATTTCTTATCTTCAACAACTTTGCAAGTACCATGTTCACTCAGGGAGGTCCCATGCTTTGAGTGCCAATTGGGACTAAAACTCAACACAGACCTCAAGGTGAACTCATATTTAGGATCCACTGCTAAAAAAGCTGGAAAAATTGCCTGTACTTATCTGACTCCTCCTGCTATCCTGTACCTTTACAAGAGCCAGATCAGGTCAAAAATGGAGTGCTGTTGGCATATCTGGGTAGAAGCTGCCCAGTCTTCAATTTCCAGTCTTGATAGAGTTCAAAAGTGTCTCTGCGTCCTTGTGGGTGATAAATTATTTTCCACCTTACAATCCCTTTCTCACAGATGAAACATCACAATTCCCTTGCTGCTCTATCATTATTTTCATGGAAAGTGCTCAGATGAACTACATTCCTTCATTCCAACAATTCTACCCTTCACAGCTAGGAACCTCCATGCTACTTGCATTGTACCGAATCACCCACATTTCCTTCATATTCCATTGGTGAGATGTAAGTTCCACTTTAGCAGCTTCTTCCCACAAACTGCTGCTTTGTGGAACCAACTCCCAAGACGATGATTCTTTGATCCCAACAATATCAACTGACTGGAGTTTATGGTTGAGCATTATCTTCTTAACCTCATTTACCATTTACCCATGCTTAGAATATTGCAGTCACATATAGTCTGATGCTCACACAATATATCTAGAGGTCCTTGATAAAATCCAAGGAAGAATCAGCAATATTATTGGCCCTGATCTGGCAGATTGGCTTCAGTCACTTTCTCATCACATTTTCTATAAATACTTCCATGGTAATTATTCAGATTAACTTTTCACCATGGTATCTATATTTTATGAATACTAGATTGGTGACAAGATCTCACCAATATACAGTTGAGGTGGCTAGATTTAACCATATGTTCTATGCTAATAGTTTCTTTTGTACATACTTCCCTCATGCAAAACTCCTTTTGACTCCAAGCTTTCCAGCCAGCTTTAATCTGCAAAAATTTAAATGCAATGTCAATCACTATCTGCTGTCCTTCTGATTACTCTTCTTTTGTTCTTACTCTTCAGTAAAGTTTTTGTTTTCTAAGTCTTTCTAATTCTTCCCCACCCAGTAACCTCTTGTGTCTTAGTGGGCTTGCTTGGGGCGAAATTGATTAAAAAAATATATCTGCATAAACTGCATCTTACTCTGTAACCATCCGCTTTGCATGACTCTTGAGCTTTGTGCAGGGTGAACATCATTGTAAATAAATAAAACAAAAAAACTCTTTTCTGTCTTCTCTAAACCTCAATGTCCTGTACTAACTCATGAAAGTGCTGCTGGTCATCCAAGTTCTTCAAGGATTTTATGGGAAATGGTTGAAATCTATTGATGGTTCATTTATTGTTGGTGTTCTGTGTCTATAGTATGGTTATTTATTCAATGTATATGGATGTTATTCTTCCATTTGGTGTTGATGACAAAACCATTTCCATAATATAATATTTGCTATCTCTAAGTCTATTAACTAGAGCTGTCTAATTTTGATATGAATATCAAATGCTTCTTTGATTTTTGTTTCTTGGAGACAACATACATCAATGTTTTATCTACCAACATCTTGAGCCAATAATTCCTGCTTTAGTTTTTTCTTCACTAATGTTTTCTTATCCTTTTTCATTCTCAGTAACCACTTGCATTTCAGTGGCATTATCATCTTACTAGTAGAGAAATGATTAAAAAAAAAAGATAAAAATAATCTTAACATAATTTCCCTGTGTCATTTCTATAAATATTTTCATGTTAATGGTTCTGATGAGCTTTTCTCTTTTATAGCCAGACTTTAAAAAGATAAGCACAGTACTACATCGGTAGTAAGGTCGCATCATTTTACAGCTGAAATGGCTAGATGTAACCATATATGCTAACAGTGAAACTCTCTTCTAAATTCATGCCTTAAAAAAATAAATGTAATACATTGTAACCCGGATATAAGAGAGTTGTCGGGACTGGAGATGAAGTCTCTTATATCCGGGTTTCTCTTATATCCGGGTTTGGTCTATTTTGTTTAGGTAAGTATGGCTCTAATTTGGAACCAGAGAAAATCTCTCTTATATCCGGGTTTCTCTTATATCCGGGTTTCTCTTATATCCGGGTTTGGTCTATTTTGTTTAGGTAAGTATGGCTCTAATTTGGGACCAGAGAAAATCTCTCTTATATCCGGGTTTCTCTTATATCCGGGTCTCTTATATCCGGCTTACACTGTATCAATCGTTATCTTCTATCTTCTTAATTCCTGTTCTTTTTATTGTTCTCTCTCCATAATAATTTTTCTTTTCCTCAAATTTTTATTAATTTGCTTGAGATTAAATAATTTTTTTAAAAAATTCCTGATGGTAAAGTCTTTCTACGTAATTGAAAGAATTTACAAAGTTTTAAATAATAAACTGCCAAATTTTAATTGTTAACAAGTGGAGAAGTCATTAACTTCTCTGCCAACAACAATATTCCAGTTTAACCCTTGAAATAATGTAAAAATAATGTAAAATTCCTGATGGTAAAATCTTTACATGCAATTGAAAGCATTTACAAGGTTTTAAATAAGAAGCTGAGAAAATTTGAATTGTTAACAACAATATATTCCATTTTAACCCTTGAAATAATGTAAAAATGATCCCCCACTTAATGCCATAGGCAATCTATAATAATACAAATAATATTCTAATAGATTTCCTATGACATTAAGATGGATACATGATTCCGAAATTTTTCCCACAAAAGATGTCCCCTGGGATATTATACGCAAATATTTCTCCAGATGTAGATTAGTACCACTTGTAACAAATTTAGTTAAGTATAAACATGGGATGTGCAATCAAATTTTGAGAGTACATATTTAATATTTAATTCTTGAGATAATGTAAAAGGCATCTTACAATTTGTGATCAGTTAAATTCTAAAGAATTAGGGGCAAATATTTTATTCTTTATTTGTTTTTATCTGTATATATGATATATATTTAGAGATACTTGATAAAATCCAAAGAACATGCAATGTTATTGGCCCTGACCTGGTCACTCAGCTTTCGTCATTTTCTCATTACCATAACATATTTTCTCTATGCCTTTTCTATAAATACTTTCATGGTAATTGTTCTGATGAAAATTGCTCTATGGTACCTAGATTTTATGAAAATAAGCACAGTACTACATTGGCAGAAACGTCTCATATTTTTACAGTGAAATTGCCTAGATATTACTGTAAGTTCTAGGTTAACAGTTTTTTCTCTCTCACTTCTGGCTTGTGGAAATCTCTTCCCACTATTTGCTTTCCAGTCAACTTTGATCTTCAAAAATGAAAAGTCAGTCATTATCTTCTGTCTTCTTAATTCCTGTTCTTTTATTGTTATCTCGCCTTAGTTTTTATTTTTTTCATATTCTCTAACACTCAGTAAATCATTGATTCTTAGTGGCTCTGTTGTCTTTCTTGGGGTGAAATGATTAAAATTATATATATATATATATATATATATATATATATATATATATATATATTATAAATTGATTTATTTAAAATATGTTTTTTTTCGCCTTGGTTTTTATAATATTAATGCTCTGTAAATTTACATTGAGCACTATTTTGTAAAAATAAAAATATCTATGAGAAAACCGGATTATATATCTTACTGTTCTTTCTTTTTATTTATATATATATATATATATATGAAGAAAAATATATATGGAAAAAACAAACAAAAATCCTTATATACAATTATGCTGTTTTAATGTTAATATGTCAACGTCGGACGTTTCGGTCTAATAAACCATCTTTAGGACATATTCATAAATTATAATTAACATTATCAATTCAACATGACAAAGACGGTGTACATAAGAACAAGACTTATCCAAACAGATAACTGAAAGTTTTATAAGATCAGCGCTCCGTTTATATATATATATATATATATATATATATATATATATATATATATATGTATGTATGTATGTATGTATGTGTGTGTGTAAAATTTGCACTCTCTAGCAGGAATTGAACCTGTGTCTTTCATTCTGAAATATATCTTTATACCAATTTAAAACCACCCTACTGGGTGGTATTTAAGCTAGCTTCTGCAGAGAGCTATTGTTTGGGTCTTCATCACAATAAGTTGGGTGGAATGGGTGTAATAAGCAATAATAAACTACAGAAGAACTCAAAATTGATCGCTGCTGTTAAGTATTGCATTAATATTTAAGCTTATCTTTTAAAAGTTCAATGGTAATCCTACTGCCACCGCTTAATTTAAAGACAATTTCATGTGCTTACTTTCCAAACAAACAATTATTTTTATATCAGGGATGACTTTTGCTAGATTTTGCAATTAATTTCAATTATTCACAAATTTATTTACAAGTTATAAAAATTGTTATTGTACAAAAAAATTATCGCAAAAAATTGCGTACAAAAACCAACCAAAATAATCACAGCAATGAAAATTTGGGAATCCGAAATTTCAGTATTGCTGGTCTGGATCTGGTGATTATATGTTTTTAATTTGTTCACAGAGTTTGTCTGATTCCAAAATGGTATTATATGTTGGGCTATAGCCTCTAGAAGTAAAGTTGAAAAGGTGTGACACACTGATACACTGACAT